GGAAGGCTGAGTCAACCTTGAGCTTAAGGGTACCACATAACTCCCAATTTCTGTAAAACTCTTTCAGGTGTGTTTGCGTCTCTCAGCCAGTATTTCTCCTCCAAAATCTCTCCATGCGGTTAAATAACGGCAGTTCAGATATTTCTAGATGGGGGGGGGCTTGTCAACTTGTTGCACTGCAAACAACGCAGAAACTTCTAACACCTTAAAGACTAACCAGATATATTTGGTTTAAGCTTTCATCAACTCAGCCCACTTGTCCAGATGCCGTTTTAAGATAATAATTCCCTTTGAAATTAAAAATAAATTGAACTCGCTTGTGATTTTCCCAGTAAACCAAGAAGCCAGCCCCTGCAAGCATCTTTTGGATGGTGATGATGTGCCATCAAGTCAATTCTGACTGATGGTGACCTTTTCCCAGGTAGAGAATATCCAGAAGTGCATTACCCTTTCCTTCCTCTAGGGGCTCTGTGGGATTGTGCAGCTTGCCCAAGGCCACCCAGGCTGGCTCTCCTTGCAGAAGGCTCCGTGGAGGAATCGAACACCCAACGTCTGGCTCTGCAGCCGGAGACCGAAACCATTGCGCAACATCTGGAACACTATAACCCACATTCCTTTGCTGGTTTCCGTGAGATCTTGGTCCGCACGCCAGCTCCACGAATAGGTGTCACCACCAGATCCTCTTTCGTCTTTCTCCCACGCCAGTCGTGATGCCTGATACACCCCTCTCTGACTTCCACCCCCCCCAACCGCCACCCCAAGGAAGCAAGAGATTTCAAAAACCCTTTCACTTCTGCGCCTTAAGCTTTGGTGTCATATTTTGACATGTTCTGTGACTCTTTTGTTATCCCAATTAAAAGTTAATCGCTGTCAAGCGGCTTCGCGCGCTTGAGCATAAGGGTAATTATGATTCTTAGGCATTCTTGTCAGGCACTGAAAAACACATCCACCCATGCCAAGAGAGTTTTCTTTAGACAGAGAAAGAAAACTCTGAAAGAGAACAATAAAATCTCAGAGAGAGAGAGAGAGAGAGAGAGATTGCTTGTAGTGTCACAGTAAGAAACTGAGGATTCAAATTTTTCCGGAATCGCAAAACTCAGGATGTCACTTTGAACAAAGTTCTTTCTTTCCGACCTTACAGTATCGTTGTGCGCCTTGATGGCTGGATAAGGACTTGGGCCGGGAGTTCCTTAAGTTGTATTGGCAACTTGACTCGTTTTTTCCCCCCCAGCAACTTGACTCGTGATTCGGAACCCACCGGAGTCGTTGTTGTCATTGTTGTCATCATTGTCGTTGTTGTCGTCATCGTCATCATCATCATCAATCTCATTTTTAATACATTCAGGCTTAGGTGTTGGAACTCAAGACTTGGTACCAAAGACTTGGATTCAGACCCAAAAGCTTGCCAACATCCCTGATAGCTACTATGAATTTAATGGATGGAGATTAAGAAGTAGGAAGGGGTAACATATTAGGTCATACGGAGAGCCCATACCTTCTCTTTGACCGGGCAGGGTTGTCTCGAGTTGCCCAGACTGTGATCCACACCTTCTGTTTGAGCTAAACTGGACTTCTGATTGTTTCCAGGAGCATGAACCAGGTCAAAAACCATCCCATATTAACTTTGGCAACATATGCTAGCAGGTTAGATATGGCATACAAATCCCTTACTTGTTGAAAGGAGTCGGACACGACAGTTACGAATCTCTGTACTTCTACTGTTTGGGGGGGGGGAATTTTTCCCCAAATCCAAAACTCTACAACAGATTTCTGGTTTAAATCGGAAGTCCGTCATTGGCATTTAATGATCTGTTCACATGCTTACCTGCTGTTATACAGTGGGGTCTTGACTTAAGAACGGCTTGAGTTAAGAACATTTTGACTTAAGAACCACTCTCATAGGAAAATATTGACTTGACTTACATACTTAGATTTGAGTTAAGAACTGAAAAAAAACCATGTGGGAGGCAGGGAAAGTGCAAAATTTGACTCAATCGATCGATCAATCGATCGATCAATCGATCGATCAATCAATTTAGAAAAACATCAAAAATCAAATACGTATTTCGATCCAAATACATGTATCTGATGTTAAACGCTCACATTTCAGGTGTGTGTGTGTGATAGGAAATCTTCACCCTACGATCTATCTTTTTGACATTTCAAGTTCTCAAGTCATGATTATGACTGGATGCTGGGACATGTAGTACAGAATCTTAATTCCACCCCTGCCCCCCACCCCAAGCTCTTTGCTTCCTTCCTTCCTGTTTGGAGATGAGTGTGATATTTACTGAGAGAACAAGAGGGAGTATAATCAACACTTTCGTAAGATGGCTGGAGTTGAAATTTAGCCAAAACCCACACTTAAAAACAATATTTCAAATGCCACCGCGTTCTGCTTTAAAACACCAAATGTTCTCCAGAATGTTTCTTTTCAGAGATGCTTAAAAAAAAAAAAGAGGTAGACTAAGGACAATCTTAACCGTTGTTGGTGTGATTTCTTAAGGCATCAGTTTAACTGAAAGAAAATGTTGATTGAAAATTCTCCCCATTTGTCTAGATGGGTGGGGTATAAATCTAATAAAATAAATAAAACAAATTTGGTGCCCCTTCGGCCCGGCCTCCGTTTCAGACCCAGATTTCAGGTGAACTTTACTCTGGTGTGAACTGAAGAAGAAGGAAATAAGGATTTTGAACCCCAAAGAACTCTGCAATCAGGAAGAAACCCTGGCTTGGCAAGTTCCTCCGAATCCAGCCATTCACAGACCACAGCAGTCGTTTTTTTGAGTTGCGACCCGCTTTGATAATAGCCAAGTGACCTGAGACACACACACACACACACTCCGCCATGTTTGCGTAAAAAGTTATTTTTAATGGGATAAACTCATCTCTTGTCAGAAAGTAGAGGTTTCTTTCTCCCCCCCCCCTTAAAGGGCCTGTTTCTCATACATGCACACTGACTTTAATATCCCCACTACTAGATAGCTCAGTGGCTTAGAGGTTGGGAGTTCGATTCCCCACAGTCCCTCGGACCCTTCCATCTATTCAGTTCAAAAATGACGACTATGATAATGATTTAAAAACACCAGGCACAATTGAAATTATAAAAACATTGACTGGTATTATATAACAGATAAAAGTTTTATCCAAAAACCTAAGTACTGTACAGTATCCCTACTAGATAGCTCAGTGGCTTACAGGTTGGGAGTTCGATTCCCCACAGTCCCTCGGACCCTTCCATCTATTCAGTTCAAAAATGACGACTATGATAATGATTTAAAAACACCAGGCACAATTGAAATTATAAAAACATTGACTGGTATTATATAACAGATAAAAGTTTTATCCAAAAACCTAAGTACTGTACAGTATCTGATAAATATCGGCACAGTACGTATGCTGTTCCTAATATTGCCGTTTTTTGTTGCTCTGATGGTGGTGTGATTTCTGAGATTTGCAACTGCTTATAGTACTGTGTGAATAATAATAATAACAACAACAACAACAACAACAACAATTTATTATTGTTATTGTTATTGCTAATGTTCTTGTTCTTGTTGTTGTTGTTCTTCTTCTTGTTGTTGTTGTTGTTGTTGTTGTTGTTGTTATTATTATTATTATTATTATTATTATTATTATTATTATTATTATTATTATTATTATTATTATTATTATTATTTATAATGCAAGGGCTACAACCCATGCAAGGAGACCATGAGCACCACTCCCCAGAAAACACTTCACAAACCCCTGGGGGTCAGAACCCCCCACCCCAGTTCAGGAACACTGGACAAGAGTGATTTGCGGACAGGTAAAATGCATAGGGACGTGGTGGCGCTGTGGGCTAAACCGCAGAAGCCTGTGCTGCAGGGTCAGAAGACCAAGCAGTTGTAAGATCGAATCCACGCGACGGAGTGAGCTCCCGTTGCTTTGTCCCAGCTCCCGCCAACCTAGCGGTTCGAAAGCATGCAAATGCGAGTAGATAAATAGGGACCACCTCGGTGGGAAGGTAACAGCCTTCCGTGTCTAAGTCGCACTGGCCATGTGACCACGGAAGATAGTCTTCGGACAAAACGCTGGCTCTATGGCTTGGAAACGGGGATGAGCACCGCCCCCTAGACTCGAACACGACTGGACAAAAATTGTCAAGGGGAACCTTTACCTTTACCTTTAAAATGCAACTCACACCTGCAAATCCGTGTGGACTAGAAAGACAAAGGGTAGGGTCAGGACTGGAAGATGTCCTGGGCAGAAGTGCATGCTGATGAGATGTCCAGAGGTATGTTCAGTAACGCTGCATCCCCATTGTTCCATACTCCTCTTTTAAACATAATCCGAGGCTCAAATGAATTCGGAACGCTTCCAAAATTTCCCTCTTTTCTCCTCTTCTCTTTCTCCTGCCTCTTTATCTTTTCCCCATTCCGCCCCCCCCCCGCGAAGCCCTACTATGGAAAGGGGATGCTGTTTTAAAAACTGGCAAACAGCCTGCCGGGGCTTCCTAAGAGAATGGTGTCAAGCAGACACGGACCTCTCCGCAGCAAAATTCCCAAAATAATCCAGGTGGCTCAGATCTGGGTGGAGGAGGTTGAAGAACCAGCTAACCGGCCAGACACCAATTTATGACTGCCCTGGACGGATTCATCCAGAAGAAGGGCCAGCGGGTCATGCTGCTTGCACATGCGTTAAGGTCATGCTTTCAAGCACTTTACTAAATGATGAAGAAGCACTTTGAGCCGGCAGTGCGGGGCACTTTGTTCACACACACAAAAAAATGTATAGAAAGAAAAGTGTCAAAATCCCCTTCTTCATCCTTGAACCGCCCTAATGGAGCCCACCTGGCCACTTGTGGGGGGGATTAAGGAGAACCCTTGGGCATTTAGTAGTTTGTTTGTTTTTTAAATCAGGCACACTGGGTATATGAGCTGCCTTCCCCTCCCAAAAAGCTGTTTTTTTGTGCTTCATTTTCTCCCTCTTGGAAAACGAAAAGGGGATCCACTTACCAAAGGGACCAGGTACCAGCACAAACTTCGCAGCATCTTCAGCGCCGAGCAGAAGTAGCAGTCCTTCAGCTTCCCCCTGCCTTCGCCTGCAGATTTACACCAGCCTGGATCCCACCACTCGGTGACACCTTCCCAGATTAGCTCCAAGCCGGCTGCTTCCTTCCTTCCCGGCAGATCCAACCCTCCCAGGTGGGGAGCCCGGAGCCTCCTCCTTCTCCTCCTCCTCTCCTCACGATTTGCAGGGTGGAAGTGCCTTTTCTCCTCCAGAGGTGCCACATTTCATGTGAGGATGACCTTCTGAGCAAAAAACAAGAGAACAAAACAAAAGCCTTGTAGAGGAAAAATCAGATGTTGTGATTCAGGAGAACCCTTTCATGCAAAAAAAACAAAGCTGTTGGCACATCTCAAGGAAAGCCTTTTGAAACAGCCGTGTCTTCGATTGGAAAGCAAATCCGGGTTTATTTCATGCTTCTTGTTGTCACGCCGTCAAGTCCCCTCTGACTTACGCCAGCCCTATGAATGAGAAGTCTCCAAAATGTCCCGTCCCCAAGGGCGCTGCTCATAGACTCAAGCCGGTGGCTTCCTTGAGGGAGTGGACCCATCTCATATTTGGTCTTTCTCTTTTCCTGCTGCCTTCCAATTTTCCCAGCGTTGTTGGCTTTCCCCTGCCTTTTCCTCATGTGCCCGAAGGAGAGCCTCAGTTTCAACCTTTTTGCGTTGGCTTTTCCCTGCCTTTTCCTCATGTGCCCAAAGAAGGAGAGCCTCAGTTTCAACCTTTTTGCCTCCAGAGAGAGTTCAGGCTTGATTTGTTCTAGGACTCCCTCGTTGGCCTTTCTGGCAGTCCAGGGTCTCTGCCAAGCTCTCCTCCAGCACCACATTTCAAAGGAACCAATTTTTTTCCCCTGTCAGCTTTCTAAACTGTCCAGCTTTCACACCCACACATGGTGATCGGAAATACAAGAGTGTGGATGATCTTGGTTTTTACAAGCAGGCTGTGATCATTTCAGAAGTTTTCTCCCTGAAGGGCCAGATTATGAAAGATTTGTTTTTTGGGGGTGGATCATGGGACACACACACACACAAACACACACACACACACACACACACACACAGAGAGAGAGAGAGAGCGAGAGGCAAATAGAAATACCTTCTATATAGTGAGAATACAAGGTGATGGTGTAAAATACATATTTTATTTATGCTGCCGCTTTACGGTGATGGGAACAATACTGCATAGGAACCTGGAATGTAAGATCGATGAACCTTGGTAAGCTGGAGGGGGTCAAACAGGAGATGGCAAGAATAAACACTGATATCCTGGGCATCAGCGAATTAAAATGGACAGGAATGGGCAAATTCAGCTCAGATGATTATCATATCTACTATTGTGGGCAAGAATCCGTAGAAGAAATGGAGTAGCCCTCATAGTCAACTAAAGAGTGGGAAAAGCTGCACTGGGATGCAATCTCAAAAATGATAGAATGATTTCAATACAAATCCAAGGCAGACCTTTCAACATCAAAATAATCCAAGTTTATGCACCAACCACTGATGCTGAAGAGGCTGAAA